TAGGCGAAATTTTGCGCGCGGAGCGGAATTTTTCTTTGTCTTTTCTAATTAGTTGCACCCGAGAAATCACAAGACAAAGAAAAATTCCGCTCCGCGCGCAAAATTTCGCCTAGTGGAAAACAGGCTTTACAAAGATATTTTAATTTCTTAAGTCAATATTTAATATATGCACCCTTGTCGATATTTTACGCACTTTGGCATTTTGCGTTCGGCTTTGTTTTTCAAGTTGATAAAGTTGACCCAACTTTTTCAAGTGTATCGAATTTCAATATGGCGTCTGCCCGGGGCGTCATGCTGACTCAGTACGGGGGTTCAAGGAAAAATGCTGGTCGAAAAAAGGTGTTTTCGAGCCGAAAAGAGTACAGAAATTTATGGGAGAAAGAGCACAGAAGGATCTATTTAAGTGATAAGACATTTGATACGTGGCAAGAGGCCAAAATAAGTGGTGGATATGAACATTCAAATGACACTAACTTTGCTGCACATCTGTTGTCATTGGAATTTCGCCGCAGGTAGGTTTACAATATGATTTTCAATATATTTCGAAGAGTAAACGAGCCTAATGTGCAATTTATTTTGCTTTGTATTTAGGGGAATCAGCGTCTGCAAAAATACTACCAAAACAACGACGAAATTCAAGCACATCGATTCTGGACCTTTCTGGTGGCAAGTGGCAACTGAGTCCTGTCTTGACAACGGAAGTAGAACACAATGAGTCTCATATGGTTTGAAGAACAAGCAAACATCAGCCAAGGTATGAAGAGGACATTCACTTTTATATAGGATGTGCTTTGTAATGGGAGTAATATTAATATTCAGTTTCAAAATAAGATTTTGCAAGGTATATAGACAGAAAAATTGTGTCAAAAATTATAAAAAGAATTGGTTTATATTTGTATATTAATTTACAGCATTGACCACAAGTATTAGTGCTGTATAATATTTCATATTTCCTGCTTTCAGAACCCCAAACATCTACACCATTAAAAATAAAGGTCAGATGACAAACCCTTTCTCGTGTTGAGTCACCTGTACAAACTACAAAGTCATGAGCCTTTCCAACAACAGAAGGACCAGGCAGTGGGATGTGAAAAGTGTGAAAGTTGAAAAAGGATTTGAGTGCATTCCAGTTCTCATTTCAAAGGTTATCCAACGAGCAACAGATTGACTGCATGATGATGGTTATGTCACCTGCCATGTTTCCTTAAATGCAACATTGCTCCCCACTGTTGCACATATATCACACCAGCAACATATATCACACCAGCAATGGTGTGGACATACCAAAACGAAAATACTGATTTTTGCCATAACTGATGTAACAGTGACACATTCCAATTTTGTACACAATATAAAAAATCTTTATTACTTACTATATACATAGGTACATAAATTAGAATATAAATTATTAAAATCAAATTCCCTTTGCTTTAGAAAGTTTACCAAAGGTTCATGAATATTATTGTTCTCTGTACCACATATAAACTTCAGTCAAAAGTCTTATTTTGAGGACTACACAAGAGGGGCAAACACTGCGATTCCCTTTGCCCAAATATCCATGCCGAGCCCATGTGTGAACATAATCCGTAGTCCTTATTCCTCTTCTTAGGCTTCTAATTGCCAGTTTTCTCACTGTGTCTTCATCCAGTGTATGAATAAATGCCTGTGAATTTAATAATGTATTTTATAATAAAATAATGAAATGACCATCCAACAGCTTTACCAATTTCTAGCATCAAAGCAAGATAATTGGTCTTGTATGGGTTTAAGTCATGCTATTTTTTCCATCACAAAGCCTCGCTTTGATATCAAAGCAAAGCTTTTGGTGAGAACAACAAAATGGCCTGATACACGGTTCACATGCACAAGCCCCATATGCATTGCAATTAGCTTCAATTAGAAGGTTAAGGGGTTGGTTATTTTTATTTACTAAATAGCTATTATACAAAATGTTAGGATATTTCACTTATATAAATATATAATTATGTGTCATTTGGCTAATATTCAGGCCATCTGAAATAGGAACAATCAGATCAGCAACAATTTGCCATCAGCAAACAGGTCTACAGCATGTTAATCTGCCGCCCTGACATGATGTCCTGACAGGTCGGCAATCTGCCTTTGCGAAATTATTTCCCGTTTCAAATTTCAGTCTGTGCCATCACTTCCCAATTAGACTTTATACTGTATCACCCAGGGATGAAACTTGAGGGGGGGGGGAGTACAAATCATCTGGATTGGCAGGGCAAATCATCTGGATTGGCAGGGCAATGAAAAAATTTAAATGATATAATGTAGAGTTATTCAGTGGCTTCCAGAGGGAATTGAATAGAATTTATAGACCTAAATTTTACAGATATTGGTAAAAAAATAAGGGTTTCATGCAAGTTTTAACAGGAATTTGTCCGAAAAAATATTTTGATGCATAATTGAATTGGTTTATGTCCGAAAAATGTTTTCGCCCCTTTTTTGAATGTCCGGAAACCGACCTCCCCCCCAAATTTTTCTACCTCCCCCCCCCGCTCGCCAACATTTTTGGGAGAAATAGCGGCCAAAAAAATTTTTGCTGCAGGGCATCGTCGACTTTCGCAGGGAAATTCTAGCAGACACCATTCAATTAAAAGGGGGCTAGTTTTGCCCCTGGTATCACCATTCAACAGTTTCTGCCAAAGTTATTCAACTTAAAGATGCAGTACAGTCAGATCTGTGCATCTGCTCACAGGAGGCCTCTTTTTATTATACAAACAGTTTATTTAGGTTTTTATTTCATTTTATATTCCTGCAAAGATTGATCGTTGTGTCTTGATGTATTATACTCTAGAATCATGAAAATATAAATAGTCGTCCAATAAAATTCAGTATTTTGGATACTTAAATGTGAACCAAGCCTTTGTTTACATACGGACTGTACCGCATCTTCAAACATGTTTAATATACCTCATTTTAAAAACGTTTTAAACAATTTAATAAGATGTATTAGAAATTCACAAACCTTACAGTATCATCGTTTTCTCAGTATTGACAGTTGGACGCTGTGTGGGGCCACGACGTACATGCACTACATGGTACTTTCGCAAACGTTCTCCTACAACAAAGTAGGATAAACAGTAAATATAATGTGGTATAATATGCAAACACAAATAAAAGATACCGTCAAGTACATTTGATTCGGACACATACCCTATTCTTCACACTTGCAGCTGGCAGAATACACAACGTTCTTTAATATTTGCCTTACGTGGGCAACCTCGGTTACTGTTCTCGTTTCTTTTGGTGGCACATGAACTTTTACAACTATAATTGTTAACCTGTGTGAAATGAAGCAATTATTTGGTCTTTTCCGCCGCTGAAAATGTGAATATATGCACATTTTTATAGTCGGAATGATTCCGAAAATCGGTTTGTTATGCGCAGAACGGATGCGCAGCGGGTGACACTGCCGCTTTAGTTGTGATTTCTAGCAGTTGTATCAAGTCTTTTGTCTTACAAATAATGAGTGAGTAAAACAATTAACAGCTCTCTAAAAGTTTTATTTTACAAGTTATCCATTTTTTTCAAAAATTGTTTTTTGAAACAATAATTTGTTACGGAGAATAGCGAGAAATATTTTCTAACTAAGAAAATGTCTGACAAAATATTTCGTTTTCAGATAAATATATCTCATTTCAAGAAAATTATGAAACATTTTTCTAGTGCATTTTTTCTTAAAATAAGAAATTTTATTAGAACTAGAAAATTATTTAAAAAAAAAGTATAATTCGTTCTTGTATTTTCTGTACAACATCGCCATCTCCTGAAAGATGCGGGCAATATCTCCCGGAACTGTTTCATCTTCTAAGACTAATGTCTGGATCATTAGCATTCCACACTCGTGTTGCTTTGGATAGTCAAAGAATTGCCACTATAGCCGCTGTCAATGCTGTTTGAAACAGAATATTCGTGCCCACGATCACATAGACAGTTTCTTGATCCAGAACAGGAATGTTGCCAACTTGCTTTAAACAACAGGATTCTGGGTCCTCATGATCATGCAAAACAAAGAGTTTATATTACTGGTATGCATAGTTATTCATACTTTAATTAAAATCAATTCAATTGCATTCATAGTTCAATATAGAAGACATGGTTTGACAACTTGATAAAACTCATTATCTGTGCTAGGTATAGTTATAGAGTATATAGGATTATGCAAAGAATTGTTGCTCATCACATGTGTGCACGACGAATTAAATTTTTCCGTATTTGTCGAGTAGCAATGTATTGAGTCCCCCATCAACTTGAAGACATTGGAACAATTGGCTTCACCACTATCATGTTGTTCTTTCCATTTCGTATAATCTTTCGACTCTAGCCAGGTTTTGTATTCTTTTGACCGCCTGTCCATATTTTTATACTCCTGACAGTCATCACAACATCCATATGTGTCCCATATATGTTACCATATATGCTTTGCTAACCCCATCAGAAATCGTGACTTGTAGTGAATACCCGACTCCTTTGATCGATTCCAGATTTTCTTTCCAATCGGACATTTTATGGAGCCAGTGTGACTTTGGGTACATTGGTCTTAATGTCTGGAATACCACATACTGAATTCACAGGTGACTTCGCCAAGACCTTGTTTTGCTATGGCACTTCCATACATATCTTTGACTCCATATCAATGGCTATGACGAAACCAATTCCAAAATTAGCAGTATATCCTCGTTTCGACCATGTACTATCATCATAACTAATTACAATCTCTACCACGTTTGACTCATTTGGTTCATGCAGTGAACTCACTTTTTCTAAATTTTCTGCTACAACTTTCTTATGTGCCTCATACAATGTGTTCACATGGTTATTACATACACTGTGATTTCATGGAGAAGGCATGTTCAAAATGTCAAACATTGCAGCATATACATCTTTGATGCAGCATATACACCATTCGTCTATTGATGTCCATTGCGCTTTGGGGTGTCCATGGAGATTGGAGCTCTACTTTAGTGTCATACTTGGAGCATTCTATTTCGATGACCGAACTATTGCCATAAGTCCGAGCCACGTCATATCTCGTGGTCAGCTCTCCCCTAGCGTGGCGTTGGTGTAAGGGCTGGAATACACTCGACAAACTTGACAATTCTATCAGTTTACATCTAAAAGAATTCTCCAAATCATCACTCTTACCAGCAGCTTGATCACAAAGCTTTCGCACAGATGCAGTTTCTCTTGCAGGAGTAGTTTTCCCTCTACTTGAGGCTGTTAAGCATTGTTCATCATCACCACACGAACTTGTGCCCTCAACATTCCAGCGATTTTCATGTCTTTGTTTGCACGAATTGACACTCGCTCCTTCTCCTTCATGCAACGCTGCAATCTCTTTCCAAGCATTACTTTTAAGATGTTTGTCTTTAAAGTGCCTATATCACTTGTGGGATATTTACAGATTTGGAAAGAGCACAAAAAGTTAGTTTGTAAGTTCTTCAACCTTTTTTGATTTGGTTCAGTATTTTCCGAGATATTGACCCTCAAACATGACAATTTTCAAAAAAATCCGTCGTGCTTGGGGGCCTGGGACTCAGGAACGCAAGCGTAAACAAACACTATAGAATTGTATTATATTTTGACGCTGTAACTTACTAAAGTGAGAATTTTTGCAAGAAAAGTCGGTTTATTAAGCTCAAAATCGTTCTCTGGTACTGAAAAAAGTTCCTACGATTGCGCTGAATATAAACTGAAGGTGAAACGTACAAAACCACTTCAAAATCAAATTTGAAAGTGCTCCTTCGTAGATGGCATCTAGTTTCGTCGAGCATGAAAATGTTGGCATTTAAAGCTACACTGACGAAATATGGGCCAAAGAATACGTTTGAAAGTTGGAAGAATATAACAAGGAAATAAGGAAATTCATTTTCACATGAAACGGACCTTACATGTACAGTATATCGTGATAGTTCTTCGTATTAAAGTGAATAATATATTTTCTATATGTAAATGTATTTGCCATTTGCAATTTAATACCATATTTTGGGTTGTCTTTGAGTAATTATGTTTTGCAGCTTGAATTATTGGGATATAAAAATTAAGTAAAGGAGGAGCTTTTTCGATTCTATTTTGTACTGTTGAATATCACAATACATTTCATGATTCAATGATTGTATTAGCTTTATTGCTGCAATAGACCAATATATAAATACTTGGCTTGAATTTATGGCTTTGCTGTTATTAAATGGTAAAGCTCCCAACATTCCAACCCTTGCCATTCCAACCCTCACAAGAGGGTTGGAGCCATGATGAAATCTGCAAGGATCCAGGCCAGTTTATGTGTACCTGGTTTGCAGGGCTGACCCTGTTTGAAAGGTCTTGTACAGATGAAAATTATTGAGTGGAAATTTATGTACATTTATTAAATATCCTTCTATACAAGACCCTTCAACTATTATTGAATTGAATGAGAAGCCAGGTTCCCGGAAGCACAACCTGGAGACAAAAAATTCCTTTATTAGTATTAGAGTATTTTTGTGCTAAATCTGCATGTGCATAAACATATAGTGTTCTAGCTGACCATGGTTTTAAATTCAAGGAATAATGTCTGTCAACCATATGTTGTTGCACCCATAGTGGGACATGGGTGTTAAGGTTTCCTTCAAATGTTAATCAATAGCAAATCTTCATTCAAACAAATTTCCTGCAGCTGTATAACATTGGGTCATTCCAGAAAAGTTCAAAACATCCATACCACCCCCATGGAGGAAATAGGAAGTTAACCCCCCTACCCCCTTCGGATGTCCTAATACATTTACTATTATCAGAAACAATTTTTTCTCCCCTCCCCCTCCGGATGGCAGAAATTTCCTCCGTGGGGGGAGTATGGATCTTTTCCGGAACGACCCATTTACTGCGCATGAACAGTGCTCACCTTTTTTTCCCACCCCTGTATATATTGGTTACAGCAAGCGCAGTGCACTGGAATTGCAGGGCAGGTTGGATTTCTGCCAGCGATCAGCAGTTGCATTTCGATTTTTCACAACTTTTCCTGGTTAGGTATAATAAATGCATATAAACTTCTACTCGATAATTTCCATCTATACAAGACCCTTCAACTATTATTCAATTCTGTATAACCTGTCTTCCTAAGCTGTTCTTGTTGATCAAGTTTTTAAATAAACATTTTCCTGTACACGGTAGCACGAATTCAGTTCTTTTTTTCATGACTTTGACTCCTTTGTCTGTTGACTTTTTTTAAAAAAATAAACTAAGATATTATTTGTGCACTATGTGTGCTGTAACTTTATTAAATGCAAGTTAATGACAAAAAAATCAAGCATGCATTAATTAAAGTTGGACTATTAACGCCAAATAGAATTTTTGGTTTGTGTGATATTTGGGTCAAAATTCTAATAAGAAATGTAATGCATCTTTATAGTAAAAATTCACCTAATGACATCATATCTGGAAACTTTGACAGTGAAAAGGTCGATGAAGAAGGGATTTTTTATTATAGAGATAACATTTCTTCGAACGAATGACACATATATTGCACATACCAAAAATCATATTTGTAGTTTATAGTCGTGCTTTAAAATTATATTTCTTATTTCTCATTTTCCAAATATTCATATCCTTTGAAGTCATCATCTTTCCCATTAAAAACTGCAGATAGTTTGATAAACAGAACACAATGGTATTATTTCATCTTTTTTACAACCATGAGCTAATCTGGTGAATCACATGTATGCCACTGATATAAAGACCTAAAAGTAGAGATATAATTATACCTTAGACTTTAATAATATATATTTCTTTAATCAAGTAAAGATGAGGCAAACCAGTGATCTGTTATACAGCTTATTCAAGAGTCAAGACACAGTAATCTGTGCAGCTCAAGCTTTGCCTTGACATTTAATAGCAAGGTGTATTAACCTATTCCTATAATACACAGAAACTTTGCATGGCCCTAATAAACTGAATATGTCCAGCAATAAAGCTTTTCAAATGATCAGATCAAAAGCAATTGAGGCAAACAGAATCAATTCCTGCATATTTTGTGAATGGCAAATCAAACCGGTTATCCCATGTCTATATCAAATTTTATAGTGTTTTTCAATAGTTAAGCTATAATAGTATTGAATCTAAAATGCACAATTTTACGTTTGTTTACTTGCAGTCGCAGAATATTAATTGCCAAATGAGTCGACTATCACACGATATTTACAAATGGAAAATCACTTACCGAGAACTAACACGATTATGCCCGTTCCATCTATAAATAATTTCTTTACATCCCTGTTATATTCTTCTAGCTTTCAAAACATATTCTTCAGTGTATGCCACTATGCCAACTCTTTCATGCTCGACAATTATGCAGCCAATGCTTGACGACATTTAGGAAAGCTGACTTTCAAATTTGATTTTGAAGTCGTTTTGTGCGTTTCACCACGATTTTATATTTCGCGCAATCGTATATGAACTTTTGTCAGTACTGACTGGAAGACGATTTTGAGCTAAATAAATCGAGTTTTCTTGCCAAAATGATCATTTTAGTAAGTTATAGCGGCAATTTGTAATATAATTTATAGTGTTTGTTTACGCTCGCGTTCCTGAGTCCCAGGCCCCCAAGCAAAATTTAGTACGACGGATTTTTTTTCCAAAAATGTCAAAATTGCCATGTTTGAGGGCCTATATCTCAGAAACTATTGACCTAAATCAAAAAAGGTTGAACAACTTGTTAAATAACTTTTTGCGCTCTTTTCAAATCCGTAAAGATCCCACAAGTGATATAGGCACTTTAAATTGGGCGGTACTCCTGTTGTAAACACAAAGGAACTCTTTTACTATTTCCATAAAAGCGATATCATCACTATTTGATGATTTAACTGCAAGTGACTCCAGAGGGAAAGGACAGACGAGATGACGAATATAGTCTCGTTTCCATGGCAGCGAAATTCAATATTACAATGTCCTTCAAACAGTGCTATTTTGATTGCACGGTATACGTTTCTTTGGTACCTAAAGATTATTAAATTTTTTTTTTCTTCAATATTTTGAAGGTGTATACTCCACCCTTATTAAATTACGAATGTTAGACCACACTTTTATCAGATTTATCCCTTTTTAATCCAAACTGAAACGGTCATAAAGAATAACAGCTGCTTTTTTCAAAACTATACTCTTTTATACTTCATGTACGCACAATCACAACTGCCTCCTAAACTACTACACAATACTTCATGTACACAATACTTCGTGTACACAATAAAAAACGTCAATCCATCTCTAATATACATTATCAGTTATACCATGATTTGTAGGTGAACTGCAATTGATCTCCAATGGAAAATCGATGTTCAACTGAACGTCCATGTATAAAATACAAAACTCATAAGTAATAAATGATTTATTAAAATATAAACATTGTTAAACGCTAAATCGTTAAACTGTGTATTAACTTGAATTCTCTTGAAAAACCATTATCTTCTTTGGTTGCACGCTTTTATCGAGTTTATAAAACAAACACTTTACTTAGAAAATATGAAAGCACGCTTCTTCTTAAAGTTCGGCTCGCATCACCTTGTGGGCTACATATTGGCACAGGTGCCCTAAATATATATCCGGGTTACACACGAACTTCTGAGATTGAGCTGTAACTCGTTTCCTAAAATTAGGATAACATTTTGCACGCTGAAGCAAAACAATTTCGTAATGGTAAGAAATACCAAAGTGCCATTGAATATCACCCAAAAGTAGGAAACTTCAACAGGAATGAAAAGTAGCGAGTAAAGTAAAGAGAAGTTCATGGTATATAGCTTGATGGAATGAGGTGTATTTCGACTGGTGCATGCGTTCTTGGCGTGGCTGGATGATTGCTGACCTATTATGGTCATTTTATAAATGCGAGAATGCAAAAGGTTGTAAAAATGTATAAAATGATATGTGATCAGATTTGTAAATTTCATTCGAGGGTAATTTCATTAATTTTTTTCCTGCTAGATATTGATATGCTGAAGTTGCTTTCAATATGGCTGCTTTGATGCCAAATGAAAACATTGTTTCTCCATTATAAAAAAAATTAATAGTGTTTTAAAACCGCGATCTGTTCTACCAATGTAAGTGTAATTATTTACTCCGGACATGTATAGTTAGACCAAAAATTTGTCGGTGTGTTGTCTTTTCATGAATACATTGTGTTTCTATCATGTTCTCGTGTTTCAAAACAACGCTGTCAGGAAAAATGTAGTATTTCATCTATTTCCCGTTTCACATTATTAGATATAAGTTCTTCAAATTTATAGTGTTTAATTTAAAGCTCAGAAACAAAAGAAGAAATGGGCGTCTTTTCACTGAGAAGTTTTAATGTATTTTAACCCTGCTGTTGAGGCTCTTCCGTTTCAGCAACCCAGGAGTCTGAGTTTCCTCTCGTTTTTGCTTTTTTATATCATATTTCATAAATAGTGTTTTAATAAGTTATCCAAACACGAGAACAATAGAAGTCACAAGGATGTTTTTAAACATCAAATAGCACAGAAATGCTCACCCATCTCTCCAAATCTTTAAAACCAAATAATCTGTTGGATTCCTGTTTGTTTGGTCTTTGCCTGAAGGATCTATTCTGTAGTTATTTTTAAGTAAATTACTACTTTCACTAGTACTTGGTAAATAGTTCTCTAAATTTAACATGCTCTTTTTTGATATATTATTTTCCATCATTTCTTATATAGACAGGTCTGTCTTTCCATGCCTTGGTGCAGTAAAATATATTTAAGTCTTTTACTATTAGTATTTGTATATTCTCCTGTGTACTTCAATATTCTCATACATTCCTGTATACTACTCAGTACTCATGAAATTTATATTATTTGATTGTGCTTTGTTGTTGTTGCATAGTTTGCTGTTATTAATTAGTGTTTAGTAATCGTTCATTGTCCAGCTAGTACTCGAGGCTTCCTGCTTAACAGTGTCTAACGTTTTCATTACGCTATTTGAAGTACTCTGTTGGTGAAGAGCTGTAGTTTTTGTTTCAAAAAAAGATTGTACTGTTTGGGGAGAGAAAAAGATTTTGCATATTGATATGTTGATCAAAAGGTCAGATTGAATTTTGAATTGTCCATGTTCAAATTTCAGCACCAACAAAGATATCGTCGTTAATGTAGTTCTTCACCTTTAAAAGCTTTACACTGTCATGGTAAAAAGAACACACTGAGGACGTCGTATTTAAACACTATTGTCAGGAAGGCGTATCAGAACTATTCATATTTTTGTTGTGAGTGCTATTGTGGTCCGAAAGAAATACCAGCTGGCGAGCAGAAGCTCTGCGTATCATGAACATACCTTATTCAAAGACGTTGAAGGCGATGTCACAGTGAATTTTACTTGCTTCACGGTGCTAGCAAAAGGCATCTTCATCTCAACACTATATATGTTTACTAATAGTATCAATGCTGGACATATTTTTACCTAATTTGCATTGTAATAAGACTAACGTTTATACAACGTCCCTTTAACGAATGATGATCTCTCTTCGAAATAAAACAAGAAGATATTTATTTCAGCATATATTCTGATGAGGCGAATAAACATTGGTATATATGACAGAGGTAGACATCTCTACCCTAAACAATGCAATTCCATTATTATGTGGACTGAGCGCAGCATTTGTTATTTCCAGAAAATTCTTCCTTGACCAACCTCTCCCGAAATCGTGTTATTTATCTGCTGGATGTACTTCAACTGTTGCTGAATCAACTTTCCCACTACTTTGGGTTTGACTGAACCACTACACCTCCAACCATAATTTATTGTACTTAAATAGGTCAGGTCAGGTTGTGGTCAACCTGCTACTGGTAACCATGTAACCCAGTACCACCTGTTCATGGTCGGGCCGTCGGCGACTCAACCGGCAACCCCTCTAGGTTTACCTAGAGAGGAGGGTGTGTGGTCACCCTGCAGGATTAAAAACAAGACCTGCTAAAGAGCGGACGAGCTCTGTTTGAACCAACGGCCAACAACTGCAGCAGAACTTGAACTCCAGTCGTCGAAATACTCTTGCCATTGGAACCAGGTCAATTGATGTCAAGAATCCGTGGGAACATCACCGTGCAACCTTGTATTTGAAATTCAAATTTTTAAGTAGACATTTTACTCGATATTGAGCGGGATTGCCAACACATTGTACTTAAACGTGATAATTTATGGTATTACTGCACAAAACCAGCTTTCCAAAAGCCCTGCCTCATCAATAAACATACTACTTCAAAATCCTACGCCAGAAAAGGTCTTCAGCTCCAAGTAGAAATGGTCTTCAGCTCCAGTAGAGGTGACTTTGTACCATCCCAATTACCAGGAACCTTCCCTCTTCAATTGATATTAAAAGTCCTCAACCTACGATAAATTGAACATTTTATACATAACCAAAAGCTTGCACTATGGAAACTTCCTGTAATTAACCCTCCACAATCAACTTCAAAAATTCCCTCTTTGTTAAAGAATCCGCTTCCTCCACTGTCAAAAGTGTCTATCCACCAGTATGTAAACCTTCCCTCTGAAATACTCCTTCAATCAACATTGAATATTCCTTACCTGTTCAATGCCTTCCACTGCCCGAAGTCAGCTTGTCTCGTCGATTCAGTCATGAGCAACTCTCCTTCAATTAACATTAAAGATCCCGCTACATACTAAAATCCAACAGCTCTTGCCGGAAGTAGTGTTGAGCCCCTGTGATAAATTTCCCTTCTACAAACATACCTTCTGCAACCGTCCAATATTAAAATGTTCCCCAACCAATCAACCAATCAGAAGAACTACGATTAGTTCCAAAATCCAAACAATTATCATGAACAGTTTGAGTTTTTCCCCCCAAGTCTACCTGATTTCACCGTCGACCCTCGAATCTCAGTACCATTATACAAAAATGTAGGATCAACAGTCCACTGTTTGTCTCGAAACATTCGTCGGTCAATTTCACCCTCTCATGCTTCAAATGGTAGAGTGAGGCAAGTGTGACCGTGTTTGCCTACAGGCCTAAAACGTCAATTCCAGCCATGCATACCTGATATGGTGATAATTACCAGCTTGAGTTCATACTTATATGACAACATTAACATCAATCTCTACAAGCACTGGTCACAGAATATCAGCCTGGCAGAGTATATTCATTAGAGTTGTTGCTGATTCCAAACTCCCACCGTCATTATTTAGATGAGCTCTTCAAAAGGAGGTCATGGCTTTAAGACAGAATATTACCACGAATATATGGTTAATCCAAAGGGAACTTCAGATATGTACGAACACATCAGCTTATAAAATTTCAAAGACATAGTACAGATCTTGCTCTGCTTACGATTAGACAATACACAAATATTCGGCAGAGAAATGCTGCTCATTGGGCCCAGTTGAAGATTGCTTACCACCTGAAGATGAAGTTCTATCGCAGCATGAGAAATTTGGCTATCATGAACGCTTGTACTGGTGTGAATTCATCTTCTAAAACTAGCCAGAAAATAACTGACAGTTGATCACCGAGTTACTTCGACTGTCAAGAAAAAGGCTATATTGTTAAAAAATTGGGCACTGAAATTAATATCACAGCAATACCATGTACCTATTAATAGCACAGCAATACCATGTACTCTTCAGGCTATCCAAGATTGTGCTTCCTCTGTTGCCAGGGTGATCGGCCTCGAGCAAACACTGGAGAATGCCTTTCTCCTATGGAAGGCTCTCTTCTAAATTAGAAAAAAATTAAAAATCCACCTTTCCAACCCTGTGTCGTAGCCACATAATGCAAGGTTATGTGACATCTTCAGATATTGGGTGATGCTCCAGTGTATAAATTTGAGGCCCGGTTCTTTTCTTTTCTCTTCCCCTCATTTTTCGTTTTCTTCTTTTGCCTTCCCTTACTTTCATTTTTACTTTTCGTTTGTATCGTATATATCACCAATCAACTAGAAAAATACGAATATCCTCTCGTACAATGATCATAAACTCAGAAACGAGTTTTCAAATCTCGGAAGCAATGATCGCTAGAAAACAGATCGCGATTTAAACACTAGTTCACTGGTGATAATTTGGATTTTCTTTACACATTAAATGTGTCTACATAAAAACCAGCGATTTGGCAATTGTTTGAAATAGCTGTGTCAATAAATAGAAATTGTTGAAACACGTTCCTTTTTCCACAAAAACGTGGAATGAATATCCAGAAACTGAAAAATGACTTTACTAAAATATTCGAAGTTGAAAATGGCAAATCTGATCGATCATTACTTTTTGAAAGATTTTGTCATTAAAGGAAGTGTGCGCGTGGCGCGGGGAACTAATTTAGGGACTTGAGAATGAAACTTCCTTTCCTATATACTTGCTAGAAATTAATCCTGTTGAAGATGGTTTTTTTTTAAACTAAGAGATTTATTGAAGTATAACGGTATAACACAACCAGATCATATTTTTGAATACATTTAGCTTTGCCAATAATTGAACAATTTGCATATAAATATCGGATAAAAAGACATCTAACATATATTACCATGCATGGGCCCTTAAAATACAATCAAAGGCCTTCGAGGCTGACTCACGGATGAGATCAAATTAATTAAAGGGGGATATGATTTACAGCAGTTTTTTACAAACGGGAACCGTGCAAGGGCAAGGACATTATTTGGTAAAACACGACATAATATAAAATGTTCCCGAATATCTTACAGGTTTAAACAGTTTAATTTTAACGACATCTTCGATTTTAACAATAACCATGCAATATCAACAGTCTTGAAAAAACAATCTGAATAGATTACTATAAAACTACACACTATCAAAGCAAATCTATATAAACGTACAATAACCGTGGCTGTCAGGCGTGTATAGTGTTCAACAGAATAACTATAAGTATAAAGCTGTACCTAATACAGTCAGTATCAGTACATCCAATGACCGTGGCTTTCCGATATGTACAGTGTTAAAAACAGACTGACAATTTAAACATGATAACTATAATAAGTATAAAGCTGTACCCAATGTAATATATCAAATGACCGTAGCTGTCCGATCTAGAGTGTTGAACAGGACAATTTAAACATGATAGCTATAAGTATAAAGCTGTAATCAATACAGTACATGCTGCATCAACGACCGTAGCTGTACGATGTACAGTGTACAGTGTTGAACAGAAAAATTTAAACAGAACAACTATAAAACAGCACCCTTATTGATACAACGGTACAGGTAGCTGTCCAATGGCAGTACAGTGTTTAAGTAAATCCAGGTGGTAATGCTGCCTCAGTGTCCAATGTTCTTTATCTTTTTAGACCATTTATAATTGTTATCAAACTGTGAATAAACATAAATATCTACATTGAAAAGGGAAATGGCTGCAAAAATTTCAGTATCAGTCCCCCACACACCACTGTTCCTCATGTTGCTTGTGGCTAAATAATGATCTACTGAATTATTCATATATGGCCTAAGATGTTCTACAGTATACTGTTCATGTGATCCACTATTTTTTGTCTTAAAATCATGTGGTATGTTTGTCTACCGGTTAAAATATATGACAGTGCTCTAAATAAACAATTGCCATCCCCTGTAATCCGACAGAGTTTCGTTGGATTAACTATAGTGGTTTTGATGTTGTTTCATCGCGTCTAAATATAAGTGGGACATTCATCAAAGAGCATAAGGACAGCTGAAATTCTCCTGATAGAGGATAAAAATGAAGCGATCTATCCATACACTGCTGAGACTCGTCCGTGCCAGCTGATACTAGGCTACAGTGCAAGCGCAGTCATGTGAAATATACAACGGCAACGTGACTTACCGAGATTTTGTGTCGTGTTGCTTCAAATATGACAAATATGTCCTTTGTATTCCGTGACAGCTAAAACATGAATTATTTAAATAACACGATTAAATTTGGTAAACAAAAAACTCTTTCAATCGACAGAAACTATGGAAACAGTGTTGAAACGGTGTTGAAACACAGCTGACAGAGGCGCTCGAAAGGCACCAGAAAATGTGAACACTTGTATATATATTGAACAAAATATTGTTAATATTTCAGCTAAAAGGTAGATCAGTGTGTTAACAGCAGATCTGTTGGGTGAAGTAGAAAAACAGATAACAATTAAGTCAACTAAACAAAAACGAAACACTCACCTTTTAATTTAGCATACGCTTTGTCAAAAAGTCAAAAGTTGAAAAGAACGTGAAAGCGTGCTCCAGCCCGATTTCCGCTTCCAAAAGACCCGTTCGCAGGCAAACACTGCGCGCAAAGCAGGCTGGTCATTTCCCATTGTTTAACTGCCCCACTCAAGTAAACCACAAAGACTCACAGATTGCTTCGCAACATCCGTGAGTCAAAAAGAACATCAGCCTTTCATAATATTTATTTATTTATAGAAATACAAGTTCATTCCAATGCAAGTAACATGACCTATACTTTTTCGACTTCTAAACGGAAAAGCATAGTGGACGTGTTTACTATTATTAGATTGTTTATGAATGCATGTTACGTGTGTGAACGCATTTCGTTTTACTCAAATTTTGAGTACGTTTTACTCAACCATTAGCGGTAAAGTTGCTTAAGTATTGTGCGTCACATTTTCCACAAAAATGTGGAATTTAAGTTCGTGTGCCTTCGTACAAAGGAGGAGGTATGACAAGTTTTTGTGGCCGAATTTAAAAAAAATCTACATATAGTTTTGAAGTATAGGGCAAACTTTGAGATTCCATATTTTCCATTCGTACTTGTAAATATTTTAAAGAAATAAAGTGTATGCACGATTCTAACATTAAAATGTTATTTCTTTTATCCGAAATTCTGTTTCTGTTGTGGGTTTAGAAACATATTGCAGTGTGTTGTTTAGCACACATTAATAATTCAAGCACGTTAGGTGAAAGAACAGCCCGAAAATAAGTAAAACACACACCAAATCATTGTGGGAGAATGGGTTCAGGGTGAAGTGAACCAATTATATACATTGTACTCTCAAACTCTGGTCAACCCAAAGACTCATTAAGCCTCATGTTTTCATCCCGCAGGCGTATATATAAGACCTGCTAGGAGAGACTGAATGCTCAATAGGAGCTCTGCCCGAAGGGTAACGACCCCCTCTGACATAGACCTGAACCAATGGGTGATAATCCCCTTGGACAG